GAAGAGGGTCAGAGGGAGAAGCAGACTCCCTGCTGAGCAGGGAGCCCGATGTGGGACTCGATCCCGGGACTCCAGGATCATGACCTGAGCCGAAGGCAGTCGCTTAACCGACTGAGCCACCCAGGCGCCCCTTTTTATTTATTTTTTAATGTAATCTCTAGGGGTGCCTGGGTGACTCAGTCAGCTAGGCAATCTGACTCTTGATTTTGGCTCAGGTCTTGATCTCAGGGTTGTGAAATCGAGCCCCATGTCAGGCTCCACGCACAGCGTACTAGCCTGCTTAAGATTCTCTCTCCCTCTCCCCCTCTTTTATTTCTCTCTCTAATAAAAATAGTAATAAAGTAATCTCTGCACCCACCATGGGGCTCGAACTCATGACCACAAGATCAAGAGGGGCATGCTCTACTGACTGAATCAGCTAGGCGCCCCTGGCCTAATTTTGTCCAGAAGTAAGGGGCTTAATTAACATTTTAGGCTTTTTAATTCTCTAAAGAATGAGACTTGTTGGGGCGCCTGGGTGGCTCAGTCGTTGGGCGTCTGCCTTCGGCTCAGGTCATGATCCCGGGGTCCTGGGATCAAGCCCCACATCAGGCTCCCTGCTCAGCGGGAAGCCTGCTTCTCCCTCTCCCACTCCCCCTGCTTGTGTTCCTGCTCTCGCTCTCTCTGTCAAATAAATAAAAATCTTAAAAAAAAAAAAAAAAAAAAGAATGAGACTTGTTGGGGTACCTGGGTGGCTCAGTTGTTAGGCATCTGCCTTCAGCTCAGGTCATGATCCTGGAGTGCTGGGATCAAGCCCCGCGTTGGGCTCCCTGCTCAGTGGAGAGCCTGCTTCTCCCTCTGCCTGCCGTTTCCCCTGCTCATGCTCTCTCTCTCTCTCTCACTCTATCTCAAATAAATAAAATATTTTTTAAAAAAAGAAGAATGAGACTTATTTACTGGTTGAGAGTAATAGCTACGAAGACCATGTATATTATATTAACTTGACAATATCCCTAGTAGAGTTATGAAAATATTTCATATCATTTGGTTAAGCGTTCGACTCTTGATTTCAGCTCAGGTTATGAAATCAGGGTTTTGAGATCAAGCCCTGCCTCGGGCTCTGCAATGGGTGTGGTGCCTAGTTAAGATTCTCTCTCCCTCTCTAAAAAAAAAGAAAATATTTCATATCAAATTTTCTACAAATGGTAAAAAAAGTTATTTGGGGGAAAATCAAGGATCCAGTGTTTAAGCCAAATTATTCACCAGGCATTTACCACTTTCTGTAGACTTACTACTGTTCCATGCACGTTAGGGTTGATTACAAATGTCAGCTGAGCCTCATGTTGAGTGTAGAGATTACTTAAAAAATTTAAATTTAGGGGCGCCTGGGTGGCTCAGTCATTAAGCGTCTGCCTTCGGCTCAGGTCATGATCCCAGGGTCCTGAGATCCAGCCCCGCATCGGGCTCCCTGCTTGGCAGGAAGCCTGCTGCTCCCTCCCACTCCCCCTGTTTCTGTTCCCTCTCTCGCTGTGTCTCTCTGTCAAATAAATAAAATCTTTAAAAAAAAAAAAAATTTAAATTTAGGGCACCTTGTGGCTCAGATGGTTAAGCGTCTGCCTTTGGCTCAGGTCATGATCCCAGGGTTCTGGGATCGAGCCCCACATCGGGCTCCTGGCTCAGCGAGGAGCCTGCTTCTCCCTCTCCCTCTGCCTCTCTCCCTGCTCATGCTTTCTCTCTCTCTCTCTCTCTCTCTCTCCCTCTCTCTGTATCTCTGTGTCTCAAATGAATAAATAAAGTCTTTTTCAAAAATTTTAAAAAGTGGGGGCTCTGGGGCTTCTCTCACTCCCCCTGCTTGTGTTCCCTCTCTCGCTCTCTGCCAAAAAATAAAATCTTTAAAAAAAAAAGTGGGGGCTCAGCTCTGTTGGTAGAGCATGGGACTCTTGATCTCGGGGTTCTGAGTTCAAGCCCCACATAGGATGTAGAGATTACTTTAAAAATAAATAAAAATAAAATTTAAAGAGATCAGCTACAGTCTGTGCCCCAAATAAAAAGGGAAAGACAATATTGAACAGTTTTGACATACAAAGTGCTTTATATTTATTTTGACACTTAAACTCATAAATCTATTGCCAGAATGGCTCTTTTTTTCTAATGGGGGAACTGGAGCTTAGAGAGATGAAATCACTTGGCTGGCGATTAATGAATTTGAACACAAGTCTTTCTGACTCTGAAACTACACACAGACTGCCTTTCTGAAGAGCAGGAATAAGTATAGTCGGTGCAAAGTTTGGTGGTTGCTAGATGAGTGCTTGACAAAGTGCTAGGACAATTCAGAAAGAAGAAACGTTTATGAGGTTTGAGTAGAGACTTTGTGAGGGGAATTTAGTTTGACCTTGGGTAGGAAGGAAAGCCTTGGAATTAGGAATCCATTTTTATCATCAAAATGCCCTCATCTGAGAGAAAGACCTCAAACATACATTCTGAGTTTGGGAGAGTTGCCAAGCCCCATCTCTAAGGTTTGGGTTAGAATTCTGGGGTTCCCAGTTTTACATTGAGACCCCAGACTTTAAAGTGTGTAAAGGTGGGGCGCCTGGCTGGTAGAGCATGTGACTCGATCTCGGGGTTGTGAATTTGAATCCCACGTTGGGTGTTTAGATTACTTAAAAATAGAATATTTTAAAAAATAATAAATAAAGTTTGTGAAGGTGATTTAAGAATGTTTGCTACACCCCATATAGGTGTATAGCTTTGCCTAGAATGGGGCTGCAACTCGGATTTGTTTTACTGATATCATCCCATTTTCTTCCCTATCTCCAGTTATGTTGTGGTAGGAATTTGAGATAGGGCATCTTCAGGATGATGTGGACATAGGTTTATTCCTTCAACTTCAAGGTTGCACCAAGTGGTTGCTGAATGATTGGAAAGTCGAACCTGTGTCTGACTTAGCCTGGAAACTCCAGGCTTTGATAAAATGCTCATTCTTTTAAACAGCGTCCTTTAAGGGTAACCCTTTCGGGTCCTCTCCCTCAAGAGCTTTGTACTATGACTTTTCTGTTGCTCAATAAACCTTGCTTTGCTACCCTCCAAAAATAATAATAATAAACAGTGTCCTTTAGTTTGCGAAATAACACCTAAAAGTAATGAAATATTTGTAAGAAGGAAGGAAATAATGAGCCTCAGGGAGATTTTGCAGGCCTATGGGGTGGCTAGAGAGAAGATGGCAGATATGAGGAAAAACATGTTATATTTAAATTTTGGCCAGAAAACTTGGTAAATGTTTGGCATAGAAAAAAACTAGGTTTGTAGCCTGAAATAATCATCTAATAGTCCTGACAGGCTCTTTCTGCCTCATTCTCCTTGAAAGGAGGAAATTGGAATTTGTATTTGTTCAAAATAGTTGATTCAACATCTTGAAGTGGTTTTTAAAAAGTCCAAAATTGTGGATAGCTGGCTTTAGTAAAATATTTTGCCGACTGTTGGTTACTTGAACGTTCCTAAAATAAGGTAAATGAAAATAAGATAGACTGTTTTTAGGTAGCAGTGGTCTTTCCTAAAGTTCTGTTAACTATCTTTCCTGAATGCAGATAGGTCTATTTATCTAGGAGAGATTATTACTGTGTCAGTCTATGTGTATGTACACTTATATGTGTTGTACAGGTGCTTCCCTTTCAGAGTTGATGGCTTTGTCCCTGATTGTTCAGTATAATAGTTTGCAGATTCACTAAGAGAGCCTGTGTAGTAATGCTTGCTTTATTTTTTTTTTCTCTTCCACTCTTGTTTTATTTTTACTTTTTTTTTTCTTTGTGATGTGACATTTTCAGCTGATGTATTGAAAGCAAATCCTTCTAATTTGGGAGCCCAGATCACAAGAGTGAGTTTTTCTACTAGTGTCTTTAGCTGTATATCTTTTTTTGTGTGTGTCTTTTCACCCTTTTCCCCCCTCCCAATTCAAAAGTATTCAAAACACATTTCATAAATGTTAGATAAGAAAATTCCTCTGTCTGTTGAACATCATGCCTTTCCACAAAGCAATGTCCACTTTATATTGGGTCAAATTCCTTTTCCTAATGCTATTATAAAAACGTAGGCTAATGTATGTTTTGTTTTGGTTTGTTTTCTATATTATCTAGTGTGTTGGAAATAATTTTAGTTCTGTCTTCATTGCAGATATGTCTGGACTTTGTCACCAGTGTGTCATAGCACTGTTCTTTTTTGGTTGTTGTTTTGTTTTGTTTTAAGGAAAATTATATAGTAGTTTCTGAGAATGAAAAACCCATTCTTTTATCAGGATTTTAAGTAATAAATTCTTTGACTTAACCTCTATTCTCCCTTCTCATCCCCTGGATGTTCCTCTCAGGGCCATGAAGGAATGAAAGAGCTATACATATTACTCTCTCATTTCAGCAGACTGACCAGCTGCAAGTGGTCAGACTGGTGAGCTCTGAACATGCGAGCATTGGAAGATGGTTTGTTTGATAGTCACAGGAAAACTGTTCACGCTGAAAAGAAATCATAACACCTTTTTATGGTGAAATAAGTTTTCTATTTGTTATTTTGATTCAAATAACCTCCCATGTAAGCTGTACATTGCTTTTTAAGATCTTACACCTGGGTAATTTTTTGTACTAGCCTAACCCCTTTCTGTTCTCTTTGGCTTGTGTTATTACAGTTTATCTCATGTTCTGTTTGTCTAGTTTTGCATCCTGGAGGAGCAGGTGATTAAATAGTCCCTTTTCTTTCCTCCTAGTGTTCTAAGATTTGCTTGTTGCTTCTGAAATCATTTAATTTTGCCCCATAAAGCAAATGGTACGCTGTCCTAATTAGAAATGCAAGTACTCCAAGTGTTTTATCCAAAGTAATCAGCCATTGTGTTTTCAGTTACTGTAAGACTATAACAGTGTGTTCTATGCTAGCAGTGTAACCACTGATTGAAGTGTAAATATTCTAAAGGCCTTGTTTTCAGGACCCCCAAGTTATTCCAAATCACCCACCCTCTATTCCCTTTTTTTTTGTTACCCTAGAGATTGAAAGATCTTAAGCAGAGAGAGTTTGCTCGAAATGTCTCTTCAAGATCCCGCAAAGATGAGAAGAAACAGGAAAAAGCCCTTCGGCGGCTCCATGAATTGGCAGAGCAAAGGAAACAAGCTGAATGGTGAGGATATTTTCTCTCAGACGGTTCTACAGATAGTTTTAATCCTTAAATTTAAGAATTATAATCCTTATTAGGAAATCTTTCAAACTGAAAGCCTATCTGTTATTACAGTATAATATACTGATTTTATGAATATGCACTTCTGAGTTCATATCCCATCTGTGTGACTTTAGCTATATCTAAGTTCTATGCCTCGGTGTCCTTATCTGTAAGATGGGAGATGATAATAACAATTTACTTCTTGCAGTCGTTTTGAGGAGTGATTATCTTTACATCAGAAGTGCCTTAGGGGCTCCTGGGTGGCTCAGTTGTTAAGCATCTACCTTCGGCTCAGGTCATGATCCCAGGGTCCTAGGATCGAGCCCCACATCAGGCTCCATGCTCTGTGGGAAGCCTGCTTCTCCCTCTCCCACTCCCCCTGCTTGTGTTCCCTCTCTCGCTGTATCTCTCTGTCAAATAAATAAATCTTAAAAAAAAAATAAAAAGCGTCTTATAAAAGAGTGCCATAGAAGATGCTCAGTAAATCAATAAATTATACAAATATTATTGTTCCCATTCTCCAACCTGTGTTTTATAGAAAAGCACATATATTACAGTGTTCTATTTTATAACTAAACAGTACTGGGGCAGAAACTCAAGTGTTATAACTGCCTTTTAAGTACTATACAATCCGTACTAATCACTGAAAACTAGGGAATTCTATCCATTTATTTCTCTGCAGGTTCCTGCGTTCTTGAGTGTTCTTTTTCATCTTCCTTCATGATTCTTGATGATTATCAATTTGGGGGCTGGTATTTAGCCTTAGGTGGAATTTACCCCACCTAGGGCTGAATTTCTAAGCAACTAGACTTTGGGGACCCAGTCTTTGAGCATCTGAGGATTCATGAGGTATGTGCCTCGATCAGAAAGACTTAGGCCCCCATGTTTGTTTTTAATGGCTGGCCAGGACCAAAGGAAGGAACTGGTTATAGTGGAAAGAGAAACTATGATTGTGGCTTTCAAAAGTTCACAGCCAAGTTGGGGCCACAGTTTCCAAGTTCCTGGACTTACTTAAGTTCATTTTTGTCTCAGGATCCTTTTTTTTTACTTATTTACTTCTCTAGCATTTTGGAGGAAGAAGGAAGGGAGAGAACACATAGTATGAGTTTTGAAACAGAAGTAACCAGTGAGCTCTAATGTTGAGTTAAGCTGCCTGTAAACTGGTTCTGATTCCTTCTTTGGCAGCTTTTTATATCATAACACATTCCTCTTGAGCATTTTGCAAGGGTACCTCTTCTAAAAGTATATACCAGGTCACCTTTTTTGAAGATTTTTATTTATTTATTGAGAGAGAGAATGATAGAGAGCATGAGAGGGAGGAGGGTCAGAGGGAGAAGCAGACTCCCTGCTGAGCAGGGAGCCCAATGCAGGATTTGATCCCGGGACTCCAGGATCATGACCTGAGCTGAAGGCAGTTCGCTTAACCAACTTAGCCACCCAGGCGCCCCTGGGACATATTTTAATACATGTTTTTCTTCAGAGGTGACTTGTAGTTCTCAGTTTTATAAGTAAGCAGTTAAAAGATGACCAAGTAATCTCTTGGGAGAAGAAAAGGTTTTGACCCATCATCAGGTATTTCATTGTCCCAGAATTAATGCATGACCTCATAGTAAGTGTTACTAAAGCAATTAATGTGGCAAAGACTAAGCAAAAGAACAAAATAAGATCTGTTTTTCTTCAATTTGAGGGTCTATTTGCCGTGGGGTAGGTTTTGTGACACAGTGTCTCTTGCTGTCTAAATCTTTTGGGTTTCTATCTTCCATTAGCAAGAGTCTAGATAGCAAGGGATACCACATTATCCAAATATATTTAGTCTCTGAGTTTAGGACAGCTAGTAGCTAGGGATCAGATAAAAAGGCTTCATCCAAACAGATACCTAATTCTCCTCACTTCTTGAATTTGGCTTGAAAAATATGTCAAGTGGATAGTCCACACACTGAAAAAATTTCAGACATGAAATGAGTTTAAAACACTGGCTTTGAGGCTCCTCCATGCTCCTGTTTCAAGCTGGGAAAGCTTTTGAAGCATGATCATTATACAGAAGGCCCAGAAATTACCACAAAACCAAAGCAAATGCTTTGATGTGGTGCCCAAGAAATAGGCACTGACTCTTAGTTTTTGAAATAGACATACTAACCACAGACTACCATGGAGTAGCACAGTGGAGGTTTCTGAGTATGTTAAACTCAGAAAATAATCCACTTTTTTTTTTTAAAGATTTTATTTATTTATTTGACAGAGTGAGAGAGGGAACACAAGCAGGGGGAGTGGGAGAAGGAGAAGCAGCCTCTCTGCTAAGCAGGGAGCCTGATGTGGGGCTTGATCCCAGGACCCTGGGATCATGACCTGAGCCGAAGACAGACGCTTAATGACTTAGCCACCCAGGTGCCCCGAAAATATCCACATTTTAAAAAATAAAATTTAAAATATGGAGGGAATTAGAGGGTTGTGTTTTTTTTTAGCTGAGTGAAATACAACCTTTGTGAATAGATGTTCAACCATATGTTTGATGGCATTCTGATGGGTAGGATGTTTCAGTAAGAAAGAAGAACAGGGGTGCCTGGCTGGCTCAGTTGGAAGAGCACGCAACGCTTGATCCTCATGGTCGTGAGTTCAAGCCCTACGTTGGGCATAGAGATTACTTAAAAATAAGTAAATAAATAAACTTAAAAAACAAAACAGTATGGGTCACCTTTACTAGGTGGTGACAAAAGAGTATTTGAACTGTGTGATATAGCTTCACTTTTTAAATTTTAGACGCTTAGGAAGAAATAGTAGTAACTGGCTGGTGCTGGGAATACAGCTAATTAGTAGGTGAACAAAATGAGACTTTGCCTAAACTCGCAGAGCAAGTTCTCTTTTTAGCACAGGGCTAGGAAACGACCACCACTTAGTGTCTTTGAGGCCTACCTACAATGAATGATGGAACATAAGAGAGAAGTGTTCTATAAGAAGTATGAAATGTACCCCTAAACTTTTTTTGTTTTTCATTTTTCTAAACCATTGTGTAGTGCACCTGGAAGTGGCCCCATGTTCAGGCCAACCACGGTGGCTGTAGACGAAGAAGGTGGAGATGATGATAAAGATGAATCAGCTACAAGCAGTGGTACAAGCACTGCTGCCTCTTGTGGTCCGGGGTCTGAGTTCTCCACAGATAAAGGAGGCCCTTTCACTGCGGTACAGATCTCTAATACCCCTGGACTGGCACAGGCCCCTGGCTTAGCCTCCCAAGGCATCAGCTTCGGCATTAAGAATAATCTAGGGACTCCACTGCAGAAATTGGGAGTGTCGTTTTCCTTTGCCAAGAAGGCTCCTGTCAAACTCGAATCAATAGCATCCGTTTTCAAGGATCATGCAGAGGAAGGGGCCTCTGAAGATGGAACGAAAGCTGATGAGAAGGGTTCTGACCAAGGACTGCAGAAGATGGGAGACTCTGACGGTAACAGTAATCTTGATGGTAAAAAAGAAGATGAAGACCCTCAGGATGGAGGGTCCCTTTCCTCAACATTATCTAAGTTAAAAAGAATGAAGCGAGAAGAAGGAGCTGGAGCTGTAGAGCCAGAGTATTACCACTACATTCCCCCAGCGCACTGCAAAGTAAAACCAAATTTCCCCTTCCTACTCTTTATGAGAGCCAGTGAACAAATGGAAGGTGATACTAGTATACACCCAAAGAATGCCCTAGAGAGCAAAAACAGTTCTCCCAAGCCTAAAGGCTGTATCAAGGTGGCAGCAAGCCAAGGAGCAGAGAAGACCGTTGATGAAGTCTCCGAGCAACAGACGGAAACCAGTGTCACAGAGCCCTCAGAGCCTGGAAGCAAAGCTGAGACAAAGAAGGCCTCAGGAGGAGATGTAAATGAGCAGAATGTAGAGAGTCCAAGTCGGAAGGTTTCAGAGAACCAAATGTGTGAGTCTGACCCTTCTAAAGAAACCTCTCAGATCACCCCAGCAGGGAAAGAAAGCCAGGAGGGGCCCAAACATCCTACTGGTCCCTTCTTTCCGGTCTTGAGCAAAGATGAAAGCACTGCCCTCCAGTGGCCATCAGAACTCTTAATTTTTACCAAGGCAGAACCCTCCATTTCATACAGTTGTAACCCTTTATACTTTGACTTCAAACTTTCAAGGAACAAAGATGCCAGAGCTAAAGGGACGGAAAAACCAAAGGATATAGGAGGCTCCTCAAAGGACCATCTCCAAGGCCTTGATGCTGGTGAGCCAAATAAAAGCAAGGAGGGGGGAGAGAATGTCGAACATTCCTCAGGAGGCAGAATGGATGCACCCGCTTCAGGGTCGAACAAGCCGGAACCTGGGGGCAGCCATGGGTCAGAGACAGAGGACACAGGGAGGAGCCTTCCCAGCAAGAAAGAACGATCTGGGAAGTCCCACCGACACAAAAAGAAAAAGAAGCACAAAAAATCAAGCAAACACAAACGGAAACACAAGGCGGACCCAGAAGAGAAAAGCTCTAAGACAGAATCTGGGGAGAAGTCTAAGAAGCGCAAGAAACGAAAACGAAAGAAGAATAAGTCCTCAGCTCCAGCAGATTCTGAACGGGGACCCAAACCAGAACCCCCTGGGAGTGGTAGCCCTGCCCCGCCCAGGCGGCGGCGGCGAGCTCAAGAGGCTTCCCAGCGGCGGCCCCTGCCGGCCGAAGAAGGGGGCAGTGGCAGGAAGGATGAGGGAGGGGGCGGGGGCGACCCCCAGGATCACGGTGGCAGGAAGCACAGAGGGGAGCCTCTGACTTCATCCTGCCAGCGAAGGGCTAGCGCCAAGCGGAGCAGCCGGGCCAGCCACCGGAGCCGCCCCAGCAGCGGGGAGGAGGACAGTGATGCTGCTTCGCCGCACCGGCCGCACCCAAAGTCTCCGTCCCAGTACAGCGAGGAGGAGGAAGAGGAAGAAGACTCGGGCAGCGAGCATTCCCGGAGCCGCTCCCGCTCGGCCCGGCGCCATTCCTCACACCGGTCCTCCCGGCGCTCTTACTCAAGCAGTTCGGACGCTTCCTCAGACCGGAGCTGCTACAGCCGACAGCGCAGCTACTCTGACGACAGCTACAGTGACTACAGCGACCGGTCTCGAAGGCACTCCAAGCGTTCCCATGACTCCGACGACTCCGACTACCCCGGCTCCAAGCACCGGTCCAAACGGCACAAATACTCGTCCTCAGACGACGACTATAGCCTCAGCTGCAGCGCGTCCCGAAGCCGCTCCCGGAGTCACAGCAGGGGGCGCTCGCGGTCGCGGGGCCGCTGCCGCAGCAGCAGTTGCAGCCGCAGCCGGAGCCAGCGCAGAAGCCGCAGCACCACGGCCCACAGCTGGCAGCGGAGCCGAAGCTACAGCCGAGACCGCAGCCGCAGCACCAGGAGCCCTTCCCAGAGGTCGGGTTCCAGGAAGGGCTCCTGGGGTCACGAAAGCCCCGAGGAGAGGCGTTCCGGCCGTCGAGACTTCATCCGCTCAAAAATCTACCGCTCCCAGTCTCCCCACTATTTCCGAGCAGGCCGGGGGGAAGGTCCTGGCAAGAAGGAGGATGGCAGAGGAGACGATGGCAAAGGGACGGGCCCACCCTCCCAGAACAGCAGTGTTGGCGCAGGACGGGGGTCAGAAGGTGACTGCAGCCCCGAAGACAAGAACTCCGTCACTGCCAAGCTGCTACTGGAGAAGATCCAGTCAAGGAAAGTGGAGAGGAAAGCCAGTGTGAGTGAGGAGGTGCTGGCCACCCCTAATAAAGCCGGGCTCAAGCTCAAGGACCCCCCGCAAGGTTACTTTGGGCCGAAGCTCCCCCCATCTCTTGGCAATAAGCCTGTCCTTCCGCTGATAGGGAAGCTCCCAGCTACCCGAAAGCCCAACACCAAGAAATGTGAAGAGTCTGGCTTAGAAAGGGGGGAAGAGCAAGAACAGTCAGAGACAGAAGAAGGGCCTCCCGGGAGTAGTGATGCCCCATTTGGACATCAGTTCCCTTCCGAGGAAACAGCTGGCCCCTTATCAGACCCACCCCCAGAAGAGCCAAAGTCTGAAGAAGCTACTGCTGATCACCCTGTGGCTCCACTAGGCACCCCAGTGCACTCTGACTGTTATCCTGGGGACCCCGCCGTCTCCCATAACTACCTCCCTGACCCCAGCGACGGGGACACCCTAGAGTCCTTGGATAGTGGCAGTCAGCCCGGCCCTGTGGAATCCAGCTTGCTGCCTATTGCGCCAGACCTTGAGCACTTCCCCAGTTACGCACCTCCCAGTGGGGATCCTAGTATTGAGTCGGCTGATGGGGCTGAGGATGCTTCCCTGGCCCCCCTGGAGAGCCAGCCCATCACCTTCACCCCCGAGGAGATGGAGAAGTACAGCAAGCTCCAGCAGGCCGCACAGCAACACATCCAGCAGCAGCTTCTGGCCAAGCAAGTAAAGGCCTTTCCAGCCTCGGCTGCCCTGGCCCCAGCCGCTCCAGCCCTGCAGCCCATCCACATTCAGCAGCCAGCCACAGCCTCTGCCACCTCGATCACAACTGTTCAGCATGCCATCTTGCAACATCATGCGGCAGCAGCTGCCGCTGCCATTGGAATTCACCCCCATCCTCATCCCCAGCCACTCGCCCAAGTACATCATATTCCCCAGCCCCACCTGACCCCCATTTCCTTGTCCCACCTCACTCACTCAATCATCCCTGGCCACCCGGCCACCTTTCTCGCTAGCCATCCCATCCATATCATTCCCGCCTCAGCCATCCATCCTGGGCCCTTCACCTTCCATCCTGTCCCACACGCTGCCCTCTACCCTACCCTGCTTGCTCCACGGCCTGCTGCGGCAGCTGCCACCGCCCTCCACCTCCACCCGCTACTTCACCCCATTTTCTCAGGTCAGGACCTGCAGCACCCGCCTAGCCATGGCACATGAGTTGGGGGATGGAAGCCCAGGAAGGGCCAGGGAAGGTGACCTGTGTATCTTCCCTCGGGGGTATTGAGCCATTAATACCAGCAAGTACGAGCTGGGATGGGCAGTGTCTGACGGCCAAAGAATCAAGTTTTGGCTAGCAGGGGTGATTTTAGATTTGAGGTTTGCTTTGGGTTTTACTATCAGGGATTTTTTTTTCCCCCCTTTCCCCCTTTCTGTTTGTCCCTTCCTCTCCTGTGTTTCCAAGCTAGGGAACACCAGTAAGTGCTCCTCACCCCTCTGCAGCAACATCTCCAAACTGTCGAGTTTGGATACTCCTCTCCTCCCTCTCTCTACTTCTTATCCTCTGCTCTTCCCTTCTGTAAATTGTAAGACATTTTCTTCCTCTCTGGCCGGCGGTTTGTCCATCTGGTCCTGCCCCCTCAGTGTCTTTGACCATCCCTTGGTGACCTTCTTGCTATCCCGGGTGAGGTGGAAAGGGAGTCTGACCTGGATCCAGATGCTACTCAGGCTGTATTCAGTCCACTTCCCACACAGAGCCACACGCTTGGCCCTGTTGCCCTCATGTCCCTCATCCCAGAAGAGGTATCTGCATATCCCAGAAGAGAAGATCCTATCATGAATAGAAGCTCTGCGGAACATAAAGTCGCCCGTGTGCTTCCCCAGAGAGGAGCTCATGTGTCTGAAGGGTGTATTTTCTTCTGTCATGTTGATGTTTCCTTCTTAATTTATAGGATTTTTTTTAAATGTAAAAAATTGCACTGAACTCTATAAACGTAAATGCTGCTTTTTGTAGCTCATATTAAAAAAGGTTCCATATTTGTAGTATACTGCAATAATATTTTTTACATCCGGCTCTTTAAGTGATCCTTGTTCTGGTGGCTTTGTGTAAATATGTTTGCCCTAGTTGAATTAAGAAACTTTAAAGGTTATAAAATGAAAACAAAAAATAAAGTATCTGTTTTCTGCTAGATGCAAAAAATGACTAAGCATGTATATTTTATCAAGCTCATGTATTTTTTGAAGTTATGAACTATAAAAATGTTAAAACAAAAAAAAGGAACATTGTTTAACATTTTTTGCTGGGACAAAACGTTTAGTTCATTTGCAGTAAGTGGTGCCCCCAGCACTGGGATTTTTGAACTAATGGGCAGCAGTCAGCTGGGGGTGTCAGAGGGATCCTCAGTTACAACATTTCCCATCATCTGTTATACAGAGAAGCAGGAGGGCCCACAGAGGAGGAAGGAGAGATTCGAGAGCTTTATTCTCTGGAAGCAGTGAGATTCAGAGTGATTTTCCGGGGGGTTTCCTGGGTGCCTTGTTCCAGGCAGTCCATTTGCCTTCCTAGTACTTAGCCCCCTCTGACAATTTTTTTTTTTTTAATGTGCCTTTTGGGATGGCTAGAAACTGAAGTAGAAGTAGACTTGAGGATGATAGAGTTGGGACAGTGTCTTCCTTCTCATGTGGGGAGGTGAGCACAGTTATAGATACTGCAGATTCTTTTGCTTCACAGTTTCCACGCCTTCTGCCCAGCTTAGTTTAAGCAGTGAAGATTTTTTTTTCCCTCTTCTCCCATGACACCTACCAGAGGAAGTACCACCTCAGTCCCTCTTCCTCCTCTTGCCTTTCACCTGGGCTCTCAGACCGAATTAACATACTGACCCAATTATGTTGCAGGTCTCATCTTCGGTGTAGTTAGCATTTCCCTACCTATTCCTGTGGCTAGAATTGGTTGGGTGGTCACTGGACAGGAAGAAGCAAACCCTATTTACTTGGGCCAAGGCTCTATGTTCTGCCTTTCTTCCCAGATTCCCAAAAGAAAAAGGGGTTTGAGTTTATGAGAAGCAAGTGCTGGGCTAACAAGGCTCTTGAGTGAGCCTCCTGCCTGTTCAGTGCTCCTCATCTGATTCAGAAGCATCACTTTTGATAGCTAGCACTGGAAAAGTGAAATCATCTGTTTGAAGTGAAGGGACTCATTTTGCTTTGCTTTCAGCCCATGTAAATATTTAAATAATACAGTATTAACATTTTTGTGCTGCTTCCCATTAGCTTGTAGATTGAGCCATACTCTGGCTGCCTCTCTACCTTCCTGGGGGCAGTTTTCTTTAACTTTCAGAATAGTGATTTTAAAACTTAAAAAAAAAAAAAAAAGGAAAAACAAAATAACCTATCCTTACTTACAAGCATTACAGATTGTATTTAACTTTATCACATATGATAGAGATATATATGCTGTAAAATTAGGGAAAGGAACTTTCTAATAAACCAATGATTTGTGGAAACTTGGCAGTCTGTCGTGATTGTTGCCCCATCCATTCAAGCTGGGAAGGGATGGAGTTAACGGGTTACAAATAACATTTTGTGAAGTGACCAAGGGATAGATTCTTGTGCACGAGTTGCTTATGATGTTTGGAATTGAGCTTCTCAAGACAGGCTGCCCAAGTAGAGGGGAGGAATTGTGCTGTAGAAGGAAATAATCGTGCTTTTCTTTCAGTCTTAGGTGGATGTCTTGGAATGTGACCTCCTTTCTTCCACTCTCCCGCAAGAATTTTCTTCTGTGTCTACTTTTTTCCTCAGTTTAGATATATATATAATCTGTGTGGTAGAATGTACGGCACATAGGTGCTCACTAAATGGGTTTGGAATTTCTAGCTTCGACTTTTAGGATTTGGGATGAACTCTGGTACAAGTCATCTGCCTGGCCTTTGCCTTCCAGATGGAGTTTTGTATACCCGACCAGTCTTCAGTTATTCTCCTTAACCTTTTAGTACTACACTGCATTGCGTGAGAGCTACCTGCTAAAAGGAAATGTGCTCTAATTGTTAGAGCCTCTATCTACTCTTCTGTTTCAAAAAGAAATCACAAAAACAAAGTTTAGCATCCAAAGCTAACCATAGATTTACAGTGATAAGGTTTCTTCTCTCCCTCAGCCTTTCAGGAAGGAGTAGTACAATGTCTCTTTCTTTCCTGTTCTCTCATACAGCTCCCTTGACGAAAGAAGCTGTTCAATTTGAACCTTGGGTTGGATGCTGAGATCTGCCTATTTTCCTAAAATAGCAAAATCCCTGCCCAGAAAGAAGGCATGTTAGGAAATGAAAGTGACTTTCTGAGCAGGCAGGGTGCAGTGAAAGAGGCGGACTGGCCTGTAGAGAGTGCTGTTAGGGGGGCGTGTGCAGGTGTTTTGATTCCAGTAAGGGTTCTTTCAACTACCTGCTTCAGCCACCTGTGCTGGCAACACGGACATGCTCCCTCTTCTACACCCTTGATGACTAAATCGGGCTTTGTCAACCATTTCCATTATTTGCCAGAAATACCTTCACCTCCCCTTTATCAGCTCATGTCTGAATTACTGCAGCATTTTCCTGTCTGGGCTCACCAGGATCTAATTCCCTATCCCATGTAAGCTTACTGGCTTTTCAGAATCTGGGTGTGATTCATTTTATATTTACTGCTTCTCAGTAAAACTAAGCTCGGAGAGGACGAGAACTGATTCTTACACTTCCTTTTTTTTTTTTAAGTCCCTTAAGAGTGTTTTACAGAGTTGAACACATAGTAAACATTTTGACTATATATTTATGAACAAAAAAATACTAACTGAGGACTAAAAGACTTAGCAAGGAAGCATCAAAGATGTTAAAGGATTTTTATATATCCTCCACATCACCTAGCTCAGTGCCACATAGAAATTCAATAATTATTTTTTTTTAATTTTTTTAAGATTTTACTTATTTGACAGGGAGGAAGAGAGCAAGCACAAGCAGGGGGAGTGGCAGAGGGAGAGGGAGAAGCAGGCTTTCTGCTGAGCAGGGAGCCCAACACTCGGGGCTCGATCCCAGAACCCTGGGATCATGACCTGAGCCGAGGGCAGACGCTTAACCGCCTGAGCCACCTAGGTGCTCCAGAAATTCAATGATAAGCGATTTAATGAAGCTTTAATAAAACTTAGGATTCATTGAGGAATTCTAGGACTCAGGGTTGATGGGATAGGAAAGTGGGAGCAATGTATCAACACTCCTCTGCCTACTCTCTCAGAAGGGAGATCAACCCAGCTCTGGCTCCAAAGGAACACCCGTGAGAAACTGAACTCTCGAATACCAAACTTTCTCGCTTCCCAAACCTGATCCTTCTAATTCCAATTTTAGCTGATGGTACCACTGTCCTACCAGCCAGCCAGGCATCAAAGCTTTGAATTACTTTGACACTTCCCTACCACATCCAGTCACTAATCTAGTAAGGGATAGGATTTTGAGCTGTGTGCTGAAGTGGTGAATTAGGGGAACGGAGGAGCTGAACGGACTCCGCGATGGCACAGGATAGCTGGGCAGGGGGCGCCTGGGTGGCTCAGTCGGTTAGGTGGCCGCCTTCGGCTCAGGTCATGATCCTGGGGTCCTGGGATCGAGCCCCGTTTTGGGCTCCCTGCTTAACGGGGAGCCTGCTTCTCCCTTTGCCTCTGCTGGCTCTTGCTCTCAAAACCTTTAAAAAAAAAAAAAAGAGGGGCGCCTGGGTGGCTCAGATGGTTAAGCGTCTGCCTTCAGCTCAGGTCATGGTCCCAGGGTCCTGGGATCGAGCCCCACATTGGGCTACCTGCTCAGCGGGAAGCCTGCTTCTCCCTCTCCCACTCCCCCTGCTTGTGTTCCCTCTCTCGCTGTGTCTCTCTCTGTCAAATAAATAAATTTTAAAAATCTTAAAAAAAAAAAAAAGATAGCTGGGCAGGATAAGATGGTGGTTAAGTTCGGTTAGAAAATAAAGAGTAAAAGGAGGATGTGGCGGTCTTCCTTTACCCTGAGCAGATCTCTTGAATTTCCTTCCTGAGAACCTGCTTTTTTGGGGAAGACCTGCAGTGCCAATAAGACTTGGCACTCCTCTTGTCATCCAGAGACAATTACCGTGCCTTTCTGCTCAAAACTATTCTCGTTCCACTGTGACTCCGTGTTTGCATCTTCCATCCTCAGTGCATGCTCCCATTCAGTCCGTCTGTCAGCAATACCTACTAGGTGTTGGGCTCTTGGCTAGACCCTGGGGCCACAGAAAGGAGCCTTGCTCTGAAGGGAGTCATGGACACAATCATGTCCATGAATGGACCATGACTAAACAGTGTGATCAGTGCTGTGCCCACGTGTCAACTCCGGAGTGCCAGCCTGAGGAATTGAGGGAGGCTTCCCCTAGGCAATGACCCCACTAGAATCAAGTCTTGAGTGGACAAGAGCTCTGTCACCCAAGAAAGAGTGAGGGTCTGCCTTCAACTGAACCACTGGTATATAGTCCCAGAGCCTGTGAACCAGAATACCCTGGACTCCACTGTATCCCCACTTCCTTTCCCCTTCACCCCTTCACCAGCACCAGCTGCGTTGCTGTGGCCACACTAAGACTCGGCCTGAGATGGAGGGAGAGTGAAGCAGCTTGCTACACCAATATGGGTGACCAAGACCCTGGAAGGAGGAAGTGGGTAAGTGCCTTATCCAAAAGGATATAGCAGCCTCAAGTCTTATCAGGGGAGAGCAGCTTCCTTCCTCCTTCCTCCACGTCTGACCAAGTCACAGTGGGCCACAGCAATGCAGGCAGCTGTGAGGTGGGGACGAAGAGCTGTAAAACGGCTAGAGTGGAGGTGTACGGACCAGTTCATGGTTATGCTACCCCAAGCAGAAAAGAACGGTGGCTTAAGACTAGCATGGTGGGAGTGGAAATGTGAAGATTCAAGAGACACAGTTGAGAGGCAGAACCAACAGGACTTGGTGATTAGTACTATTCTCAGGAAAAGGGAGGAGTCATGGCTTTCAGTCATTAGCATCCACCCCCAGGGTGGCCTCACCCCCTTTCTGGCAATCCAAGAAACCATATGGCTCTTTCCTCTGCCTACTGCTCAGCAAGTGGGTTCCAGTTTGATAAGAAAAGCCTTCCCGTGGTAGAGACTGAAAGGAAGAGGAAGGAGCTCACCCATTCCTGCCTAGGAGGTTGTGGGAGAAGGAAGATGGCCAGAGCTGTGTGTCCACTTCATGCCCTCTGGCTTCTGGAGTGGGTGCAGCTGCTCTTGGGACCTGGTCCCATCCCTCCAGCCTGGGCCTTGAACCTGGACCCAGTGCAACTCACCTTGTACACGGGCCCCAATGGCAGCCACTTTGGGTTTTCACTGGACTTCTACAAGGACAACCATGGGAGGTGAGCCTGGGGTGAAGTTTGGGTGTTGGGAAAGCGGATTCCCCACCATCACCACTTCTGTGAACCTCAAGCTCCCCATTTGCTATAGAGGTTGAGCAAAGAGACTTTGAGGCTCTATTCAGAATTAGTTCTTTTTAGGAATACTGGCAGGAACTAGCTCAGGTAAGGGTGTCAGGCAGGGGCACAAAGGGGAAGGTGGGCACCAAAACTACAGCAAGAACAAAGGGAAGATAAAAGTTGATGCCTTGTTTTTTCCCTCAAGGATCAATTGTATGACCTACTCCACCTTGGTCTCCTCCAAATACAGAGAGGAGCACATGTCTGAAATTGACTTGCAAAACTGTCTACCCATTCCCACCTTGCTTTTCTACTCCATGCCCCTCATGCCCATCAAAATTACAGATATTTGAAAAGAAACAATAGAGCATTAATGGCTGGGATTGGTCAGCTGTGAAATCAGACTTCCAAGATGAGAGTCCTGGTTCCTTCTCTTTATAGTAACTACCCTGCCCAAGGGACTTATTGTGGTAGCGCTGTGATGCCCCCCCTGGGGATGGCAGGCAGCCCTCAAGTATCTGCCTCTTGGGGGATTTCCTCTGCTGAAGAGAGTCACCTCCCCCGAGTCCCCTTTCCAAGGTGGCCTACAACCAGCGACTGATCAATGAGGAGGCGGAGGGAGGAGAGAGGTGTAAGGGTCTGATGTTCTCACCTCAACTTGGGATGGTTCTGCAGGGTCCTTCTAGCTCCGGAGCTCCCAGGATGTTGGCCCATGGCTGTCATTGGGCCTGAATCAGCACCATACTCCTTTCTTTGCCCACTCCTGCTCCTTTCCCTTTCTTTATTTTTTTTTAAAGATTTTATTTATTTATTTGACAGAGAGAGACACAGCGAGAGAGGGAACATAAGTAGGGGGAGTGGGAGAGGGAGAGGGAGAAGCAGGCTTCCCGCCGAGCAGGGAGCCCGATGCGGGGCTCGATCCTAGGACCCCGGGATCATGACCTGAGCCGAAGGCAGACGCTTAATGACTGAGCCACTCGGGCGCCCCTCTTTTTTTTTTTTTTTTTTAAGATTTTATTTGTCAGAGAGAGGAAGAGAGCACAGAAGCAGGGGGTGTGGCAGGCAGAGG